GTCGGTTTGTTGTCTTGTACGTTATTGCCACGTCTGCTCTGCCTCTTCATGTCAACACTTTCTGTTGAAAGACATGTTTTCTTCAGACACCTGAGTTCTGCTTTGACCCCGCTCTGCTCTGGTACCCAAAGGAAAGAACTGTGTGTGTGTGTTGTCAGTCATCTCGTATGAAGCAGTGATGCTGGCAGTATATTGCAGCACACAACTGAAACTGGTGGCTTCTTCTCAGAGGACCTGTTGAAAGACAACTATGTTGATAACTATGTTTGTTAGTTCCAACTTCTTAAATGGGAATAGTTGCTGTTTTCTTTGTCTTGTGAACTGAATGTCTTGTTTTTGTATGGTTCAGCTAAAGGCATGTGAAGACGTCATCTAAGTTCTAGACAACTGGCAGGGTTTGGTTTTTTTGTTTCCCTCTGTTTTCTGACTAAATGATCAGCTGATTAATTAGACTAGTTAGTAGCTTAATTAGTTATGGCAGATTTGGGCCTCTGCATTCACTGAAGAACAATAGAAAGGAGTTGTTCAATAGTTGCATTTTTTTTGGGGGGGTAGTGGAGAACTGGTGATCAGATTGTGTTTGGAACATGATGTTTGGTTTGTTCAGCAAACGCACATCTCAGTTTAAGGTTTTTGTTTCTTTCGTCTTGCACAGATGTGTGTTTGCAGTGAGGATGTCCCAGAGACTGGAGTGTTAGTCGAGTCAGTTTGAATGTCACAAACACCCTGCCCACAGTTCTCCCAGCCCGCCGGTACAAGTGGTGTCAAAGGGTGAATAGCAATTGCATAACTGACTTTACCAGTTACTCCAGGTTTGGACATATGTCAGACCTCTTAATCATTTTGGTTTTAAAGGGCAGCAAGATTTCAAAGATGTGCACATCACATGCTTTGGTGTGAGGCATGATAAAGCCAGAAACGCTAATCCTGGACTGAAGGAATGAACTTCGGTTGTCTTCAGGCTGCTTGCTTGTAGCAGCACGGTGTGGTCATGAGCCTGAATGAAGCGCTGTCGGTTACATTCCTCAGAACCAGGGAGTTTCCTCTGGCTCTCTCTGCCTCATTTTGTTGTCCCTCCTGCTCCCTCTCCCCTCTCTTCCTTTTTGATTTCCCTTCTGGAATGTGACCTTTGGTGACCTTGACCAGCCCTCTTGGGTATTTTGCACACTTGGAGGGATCTCAATAGGGCCTTGGGGTCTTTTCATAAAGGACGCTGCTTTCCTCTAGCTCATCTGAGAGTGGATGTACCTACAGCTTTCCCACCACAATATGCTATGTTTCACATATTTGCTCCTGTTATTCTGGATTTAACTTCAGTCTTCACTCAGCCCTTCTCCCCACCTGCTGTCTCTGTGATCAGTTGTTTTTTCTAGGTAAGCCTCTGCAGGTTATCTCACTTTTCCCTTTGTCTTTTTTGCTGCACTTTCCTTTGATGGACACGTAGCCCCTGAGAAGTCAGAATCCCTGCCTCCAGATCCCGTCCCTTTCTTACTTTGGGGATCCCGGCTAATTGATAAGTGTTCTTCTCTGTGACAATGGGCCGTGCTCTGAATGCAAAGAAAGCTTTTTGGGGAGCCACAGGCATGATTGGAATGCTTTTATCACTGGATTGAGTTGGCTCTCTTATCAAGTGGATGCCAAGGGATTTGTAATTTTGGGAAGTTATTGCTTCACTTAACAAAGCCTCACTTCCCATGTGTTTTTATTAAAAAAAAGTCAACCGTTCCGAATTGCCAGACAGGCTGTGCCACTCAGACCTTGTGCATAGTTTTATCAGTTTGTCCGAGTTAGGCCGGGCCAAACAAATCCTGCTCTCTAGCCTTTTTCCACTGACCTCACTGCAGGCCCTGGATGGCAACGCGTCAGGTGAAGGTGAAATACAGGTAAGTACGGTAGCTGTTTGTTTTTCCATCCAGCTGGTTTAATCTACTTGATTTGAGCATGAAGAATGTAAACGCTGACAATTCTAAAATGTTTCTATCATACTGTAGACAAAGATGGACGTCAGCACTTGCTGCCACTATGCAAAAATATGTTGACTGCATTTGAATGGAAACCTGGCTATCTCATCTTTAATCGACAGAAGTGACTGCTTTCATTTCTGTTAGCGACGTCCGAGCACTTAATGTGCCTGTGGTAACAACTGTGCTGGTTAATTAGGGCAAAAAAAATTCCTCTTTGCCCAGAAGTTAATCCATGTTGTACCACCAAACCCCGGCTTGTTGCCTTTGGGGCCTTGTGGCTGAGAATGTTACAGCTTGTTGGAATGTCGCTGGTTTTCCATTTAGGCCTCAGTCATTTGCACGAGAAAGAGACGAGTTTTTAAGAACTTTTTCTTTTTTTGCATGATGGGGTGCGCTGAAAGCCTGAGTAGTGAAAAGGATGTGGGGAAGCAGGGAGCGTGATAAATAGTATCACTAGGATGTAATAATGGTTCCTGCATTGCTGTCCGCCGATCTATAAAATCCCTTGGGCTGAGGAATGTCGGCACAGAGGGGAGGGTTTTGTTCTTCCTGCCTCTGATGGAGAGCAGTCGAGAATCGGGTTCCCTCCGCCCCTTTTCAACCACTACATATTCTGGCACTTGTAACGGGAACTATATGAATACATTTAGGGCAGAAGTCGAGTCAAGTTTGCTTGAAAAATGACTGAGATGACTAAACGATTTATCCAAAACAGTTGCAGATTAGATTTGTCACTTCGATTATCAAAAACAGTTGCAGATTAGATTTGTCACTTTTCTAACTGTTCAGTGAACAAGTTGTGTAACTTTTAAAACAAGCACTACAACAGTTGGCTCGATCAGCAGCTCATTTGATTTTGACATGTTTCAGTTTCCCTATGTGAGAATCGGCTGCTCTTCCTCCTCTTTAGTCTCAGATTAATAGATAAACCACACACACGTCTGTTCTTCTAGGCCTGAGCGTCTGAGGTTTGAAAACTTCAGCTGTTTTCTTCTCCACCAGTTTGAGACACCTTTTTTTTTTTTTTTTTTTATAACCAACCAGCTGATTGTTTCAGCTCTACAGGTGTTTTGATATGTTTTGTAGTGAGGATTTAAAATCAGTTGACTAACAGTATGTCGTTTATTTGGAAACGTGGAGGCTAATGCACTCGTTTTCCTCCCCGCCACCTGCCCCAGGCTTGAAAAGAGAAGCTGCTGTGGCTTTGTGGCGGGCTAGTAAAATATAGAGGGCCACGGCAGAACATGGCAATACGATCCGTACTGCGTTTCCATTGGGAGCTCGTTTGATGTCGGCCCTGCAGTCCCAGGACAGCCTGTCGTACTCTGACAGATGGTCCCAGGCCTGAAGCCAGACTGCTGGCCACGATCAGCACTGATGCAGTGTTTTTGTTCCCAGGCTGAACAGATGTGTCTGAGCTGAAAAATGGAGGTGGTGAGCAGGAGTGCTCCACCCTAGGCCTAGAGCTCTGTAACAAAATTAAACACCTCAGTAACATCATCAGAGGAGCTATGTGACATGTAACATCATCAGAGGAGCTATGTGACACATCATCAGAGGAGCTATGTGACTGTGTCTGAGCTGAAAAATGGAGGTGGTGAGCAGGAGTGCTCCACCCTAGGCCTAGAGCATCATCAGAGGAGCTATGTGACATGTAACATCATCAGAGGAGCTATGTGACATGTAACGTCATCAGAGGAGCTATGTGACATGTAACGTCATCAGAGGAGCTATGTGACATGTAACGTCATCAGAG